AAAATTGAATGGATTGTTACTGACTCGCCCAGATAATCCATCTGTGTAAGTTGCCCTAGCAGAATTGAATGGATTGTTACTGACTCGCCCAAATAATTCATTTTTATAAGTTGCCCTAGCAGAATTGAAAGCATTGTTATTGACTAACCTAAAATATTCATTCTGTAGGTTACACAAGCAAAATAGGAATATTCGTTTTGATGTTATATATGTCATCTTTGCAATTAGCACAAGCAGAATTGGAAGCATTGTTAATGACTCCTCTAAATATGTTGCCTTTGTAGGTTGCACCAGCAGAATTGGAAGCATTGTTATTGACGCATCCAGATATTCAAGACTCTGCAGTGATAGCTAAACCGGATGAAGACGCTGGCGAACTTCCCAAAGCATTTGTTGTGCCAAAAAACAAAACACTCTCTCCTCAGGATGTAGAAACTTTCATAGCAGGTAACTATTTTTTTGCAAATAATTTTAATTTTATTATCACTGTTGTTCACTCCTTGCGATACATTATGTGAGCACCATGATTTAGATATGGGAATCAATTTGTTTTATCAATTTACTCATTGAAATACAACATGATTCTAAAATGAATTGTGGCTTGTGATCGAGATTGCACTATTTTGTTTAATATGTTCTGGATGAAACTAAATGAAAACATCCCCACTGTGTTTTCTATTTTAATGTTTACTAACAGACAAAGTCTCCCCACACAAGAAACTGAGAGGCGGAGTGGAATTCATTGAAGAGATTCCTAAATCTGCAAGCGGGAAAATATTGAGGAGACGTCTTAGGACAAGGGAAATTGAGAATATGAAGAACGAGTCATTGAAAAAATAGTGTAATAGAAATGAATAATTGCTGATATGACTAATAAATGTGATTTATTCACAAGTCTGATTGCTTTGATATTATACATATAGGTACTACAGGTGCACCTCTCTCAGATTTGTTCATTTCGTGATACATGTGTATCTTAAATTTTCTAATTTTGATAAATATTTTTGTGATTTTTGGTAAGTGATATTTTCGACTTCTTGTTGAAAACCGTTGGATTAGGGTACGCTTGCTTTGGTTGGATTGCTTTGATACTATACATATAGGTACCTCCGGTAGGCCGCTTTCAGATTTGTTATTTCATAATGATATCTTCAATTCTCTATATTTAAAGAATATTTTTGGTAAAAAGTGATATTTTCGACTGATTGCTTTGATACTATACATATAGGTAATACAGGAAGACCACTCTCAGATTTGTTCATTTTGTGATATCTTCAATTTTCTAGTTTTGATGAATAATTTTATTATGTTTGGTAAAAAAAGGTGATATTCGTTGTATATAGCAATCACAGTTCATTGTTCAAAACGGCCTAGACGTTTTCAGCTAATTAACCCTGCAAGTAACTCCAGAAAGAACACTGTAGTGAAACCAAAACAATAAAATTTTGAAGAAAACTAAATATCTACTCTACCATATATTCTTTGAGGTAATACGCCAAAAATAAATTTGAACTGATTTCAATTACCACCTAATGTTCTTGTTCTGTTTTAGAGTTATCACATGCTATATCGTTACTATGTTTTTTTTACATAAAATTGAATGTATCTTGAATAGTTACTCAGGACAATAATTACTAAATATTACCTATAGATATACAACAATCTTTTGGATATAAATTTTCATATCCAATTTTGTTGATGTTGTTTTAGTTAGGTTGTGAATATATTATGTATATGATATATGATCACACTGGCTTCCATTTGAAACACGTATTTGAATTATATGTGCTAAATATTTTCAATGGTGTTATGACAAACACTTTTAATTAAATTACCTTCTAACCATGCTAAAAATGTAATAATTATGAAAATCCATGAAAACCATTGTCGGTGGTAAAAACATGTCCACTAGTATACTGAGATCTACAAATTATTATTTAGTTTGTCACAGAATTTTGCTTTTTAACTGAATGCATTTATTAACTTGCTTTGGTACTACAAGAATGAGAACATTTTTTTCCTGTAGTGTTATTGTCCCCATATGACAGGACAACTGCTTTTAATTGTCTGTGACAGTATATGCTATATGGATGGGAGATGGATCTCAATATTTCGCAAGAATAAAGTTCTAATCAATCACATTTATTTTGAGTGTCAAGGTGCCGTCAAGATGTCAAGTGATTGACCTAACACAAGAGTTTGGACTTCTACACTTGGTACACAGAAAATTCATACTTGGCTTGAGTATGCACTTTGTAGTGCCCCCATTTGACGTGCTGATGTCATTGGAACATTGTATAGTCATGTTTGCGCCATGCAAGCATTCACACATTACGTACTGAATCATTAAGTGTAGGAACACCCTAATTAGACAAATAATCAAATTTATGCAGTGTGATAAGACATGCTGAATGAGTTGGCATCGATAACAGTCTTAAAGCAGGGGAGTCGTTACCTGCGCATGCGTCAGATAGCCATAGGGTGTCATTGTTTACAAACAAGTGTCTACCCATGAGCCATTACGTTTTTAACGTGTGTTATCTTCGTTTGGGACTCAATTCCTGAGCATGCACAGGTGACAACCACCCCCCCCCCCCCACTTAAACAGGGAGGTTTGTGTTTTGGGGGTCAGGTGGTGGACGGATAA